TGCAACATAGCGCTCGAGCGCTCTGCACTCCGCGAGGCGATTGGGATGAATAACGATATATACGTTGCGGGCGCAACGTGTGTGCCGTGTGTGCCGTTTTACTTTGACAGGCCCTCCGCTCGTCAGTAATCTCATTCTTGAATATGGATAGCGGAGTAATTACATTCAGGCTTCCTCGTGGCGGGATGTGAAACACACGGGAGGGAAATCGGCTGGCGGCGACGCGACGTATGTAACATCGATCGCGAGCCCTTGTAACCCTCAATGTGCATCGCATCCGTCACACGTTGCTCTCGCGAGACTAATATTGGCCTCGTGTCAGGAGCATGCAGGTAGCATAAGGAAAGCCCGGGAGTCGCTGTCGCGCGCGTTCATTTCAATCACCGGCACGTGCCGACACGCCGCGGACAGTAGCGACGACGAGCCGCGTATTCTCTAATCTATTGAAACTTATTGAGAGAGACGAGAGAGAGAGAGAGAGAGAGAGAGAGAGAGAGAGGTGTATGAAGACACATATGAAAACCGCCACAGCGCTCTAAGTGATAAACGGCTTTAGTCGCCTCACATTGTCTTCAAATAGGTCATTCGTTTCTATCCTAGGATGACAAGGTATTTTACAGTCGGGAAATACACGGTGTTCAACGGGAAGACTGTCTAAAAGAGCGCTAACGTAGCTCATACTGTTTCTCTCGTCGTTACTCTCTCGAAGAGTGAAATATCACTTAAAACGAGTAAAATGCAAGTGTAAAGAAAACTGAAAATTAAGTCTGTGTACTTTGAGTGATTCGCCACTCTAACTATAAGAAAGAGTAAAATTGCGTTATAAGTTGGAGTGAAAGGGCACTCTTTTCGAGTGCAGTAGATCAGTGTTTACAGGAGTGAATTATGTCATTCTACAATTTTAAGTGGAAAATTTCACTCTGTTAGAGTCATTTCTCAGTCGATCTTTAGTGAATCGTTTACTGTATATAGCTTTAGGAGTGAGATCGTATCACTCTGGTAGAGTAGCCGCTCTAAAAGTTTGAGTAAAAAATTTACTCCCATTTTATGAGTCCTTGAATTTATTCAAATTAGAGTAACAACCCTCTCTTTTGGAGTGACTATCGCAATTACTCTAATTTCTGATATATTAGTGGCGAAATTACTAACGAGATTTAGAGAGTAAAAGAGAAAGAGTTAAGTGGACGAGGAATCGACCTGCCGCACGGAGGCGGTTGATTGTCCTCGTTTGACTTTTCGGGCGAATATGGTAAATTCGCGAGACATGGACATGGCTTTTATTAACGTCGACACTAATTGAAGGTATGTTTCTTCAACGAGCGCGACGTTGGTCGATGCGCCGCGCCGCGCCGCTCCGCGTCGCGCCGTCTCGTGCGACGCCCACGACCCTGACATTGGGAAAGTTGTGAATGGAGACGTCGACCCGCGTGGAGTTCCTACTTCATTTCCAGATTTTCGATATAATTAATAAAGTTTTGGTTTTTTTTTCTCGGGGAGATCCGACGTGTCCGAGATCCGACGTGTTTAGCACTCGGTACTATCTTAGTGTCGTCCTAGAAAAACGCAAAATGTGGAGATTTCCTCGCGTTTCACGAGAGGGGAAAAAAGAAAGACTTCCGATACATTTTTCCCTTTTTTGAAAGTTAACAAAGAAAGCATTTTGTTTTAGGTCTATTAAAATAGTATAAGCTGCCCCTCTATCGATTCGCGTCGCGGCGCGATCGTCGTCATAAATCACACAAGTTAATAGCATTTTGTGGCTGCTTATAACGTTGTTATTTATAATTTCTGGGGTTTTATCCTAACAAAGGTTTTATATAAAGCCCGGCGTGGCCGGTGCCGAGCGTCCACCACGAGATGCGCGGCGGAATATATGTTAGTATCCACGCTATCATCATACGCGCGGGCGCGACGAATATCCCGGACACGTGCACGCGGCAACTTCTGTGTGCGCGTGTGCGTGTGCGTGTGCGTGTGTGTGTAGCGCCGCCTCGCTCGTGTATGCGACGTAAAAAAAGTCGCGGTGAAGCTATTCTTGCATCGTCACTATACCAGACGCCACTATACATTCTGCATATTACATTATGCAAATGGGGTAACGTAGCGTAGTGATGATCTGGTCGTTAAAACTCGTATCGCTGGCTTCCTCAAAATACGCTTCGATAAAACCTATATATCGCGGGAGTTATCACACGCGTGCTTACGCGCGTGGTTAAGCCGTTACGTCACCGGCGATTCCAACTACGTGGAATTGTTGCGTCGCATATAAATATCGCTACATCTACTCTCGCATCTACGGCGAGTAAGAATCAAAGGTTTCTTGAACGGGACGCGGTCGTAAGACGCTTTCTCAACGATCGCTTTCGAAATACAGGGCCGAAATTCTTATACGGAACGAACGAGAGATTAGGCGAGAGATGTGTATGGTATTTTTGTTATATTCGATCTCCAACTTGACGTAAATAGCGACAGTTTAGTTTTCGAGGAAAGTGTTGTGTCACGTCAATGTTTTGCTCGTTTGAAGTATAGTGTTGAAACGTTTTTTACACAACTGATACCGCGATTAACGAGCGGATGACACGCGTGCTCGTTCAGCATACTGTTCACGAACGTCTACATAATCGTGGAAGAGACGTTCCGTGTTTATCGCATAAATTCAACAGATATTAGGTAATAACCGTGCGACCCACGCTCAACCGACACATGGCGATCAACGCAGCGGGAGCGGATAGAGATTTCTTTATTGGATTCGCAGTCTCGCCGCAGACAGGAAGCTCAAAATCCCACGAAATCGTTTCATCCCTGTGCCACGGGGGTTGATCGGGCGCTTATTTTCTTCTATAGGAATTTAAAGAGGGAATTTTTTTTCAACAACACACGGTCTTTCCTCGTAGAAAAGCCCTCTCGAAATTTAATACGTTAATTAAGTTTGTTGTTTGTATTATACATCTGTAAGATCGTGAGATGATTACGATGGAGGGGAGTTTGGAATTGAAGAATAATTTAATCTTTAACAGGGATGATTATAAAACGTAGAGAATGTCGCCAACAATCTTCGCCTGGAGTTTCTTAAAAGGAAAACGCGATATTATCTGATCGCGTTAGCGACGTCCAATTTGCAGTATGCTTTCTTTTCTCGAGATGTAAAGCAGCGAGATATCGCTTCTCGGAAGTGACCCTTGTTGTGCATCCTTCTCGCGTCTCAGGCGACGGATAAGGGAAGGGTACTGTCGGTATATTGAAGGCTGAAAAACTTGACGATCAAATACGTGGCAAAAAATAGCCGCGATAGGAAAGCAGCGAGGTGACGACGACGCATTCGGTAGATTGCGACATAAAATTTATGTCACGGTGAAAAATACGAGAGATATCGACGAAGGAAGCCTCATATAGTAGGTGCTTTGAGAATTTTCTCACTCGTGGAACGAGCGGGATGAATTTTGTCAGGTGCGACACTAAATGGGATCTCTATGGGTATCCGGGTCATTCGAACACCCACATTAAATTTCTTTATGCCGTTTTAATCGCCACTCATAACGCCGACAACGACGGCGGGTCGTAAAGCAGACGAGACGTTTTATGAGGCGCGGGATTCGCGGAGCGAGAAAATTCTTCGCCACCCGTGCCGGTTGAATGGTTCGCCGGTGGTTGGAGGGTTCGGCGACCGGGTTTTGCCACCGTGGCACGTAGATAGAAGTGAATTATTTCGCCTCGACCTCGACTCCTTCCTCCCCACCTCACCCTTCCCCTTTCCTTCCCTTTCCTTCCCCACGTATAAAACACGCGAGTGCGCCTTCGTAAAGACGCCTCTCTGACGAAGGCACCCTGTATAAACTCGGAATAACGAGATTTGCCGGAATCCTATCTTATCAGGCGCCAATGGCTTTCAGTGCTCGTTAATTATCGCAGTTCGCTCTTGTTTCCCGGAGCATCGATATCGCTGGCTGCCCTTCTCGCATTTTTATTATTTTTCACTGGAGAGAATCGGATCGAACCGAATATCACGAGCAGCGCTCGTGTATCTCGTAATCGTCTTTTTCTCGCGAGCAAGGATCTGAAATGATTTTGTCGGATTGGAATTTTGCGGAAGACATTTAGGGCCCCCTGGCACGCAGAGAAAAACTTAAGCAATAAGACTTGAACAGTAAGCAAATTGACCAATTACAGTCAAGAATTCTCGAAAACTTAAGGCAGCTATTGGCTCAATTTGCTTACTGCTTCTCACACGGTATATATATATCGCGTAAAAGAGTCACGGTCGGTCTCGCTCCGCGTGTACTTGGCGCGAGACACTACTGTGTCTCTTGATACTCACTAATTGCGATCTAAATATCATATGGAAACTACTCTTTAAAACTCGAAGAGTGAAATGCAAGTGTATGTAACAAAACTGAAAATTGAGCCTGTGCACTTCGAGTGATTCACTCTAAGAAACAGTAAAATTGCGCTCTATAAGTTGGAGTGAAATCGCACTCCATTTGAGTGAAAGGGCACTCTTTTTGAGTGCAGTAGATCAGTGTCCATAGGAGTGAATTATGTTACTCTACATACTCTACAATTTTGAGTGGAAAATTTCACTCCGTTAGAGTCATTTGTCAGTCGATCTTTAATGAATAGTGATTCGCTATAACTTTAGAGTGTGATCGTATCATTTCTGTAGAGTAGCCGTTCTAAAAATTTGAGTGAAAAATTCACTCCTCCTTAGGAGTGCCCGCGTTTACTCAAATTAAGAGTGACAACCCTCTTTTTTGGAGTGACTATCGCAATCGCTCTAATATATTAGTGGCGAAACCACTATAATACGAGATTTGGAGACTAGTTGCACAAAAAGTTGCGCCGCAATGAAGCAGCGAAGGAAGAAAGGCATCAGCACTGCTCGCTACCGCACGATTCGCAAACGTTTTTTTCCCCTTTCCGTTAATTTATGTTGCAATCCTTGCATGCTGCCGCCATCGTCGCAATGTCAATCCTCAAGAAGGGTTCGTGCGTATCTTTTACAGACGGCGCTCAGCAATCTGGAGGAGCACAATGCCATGTACCGTGGCGACAACAGGAGCCGGAGCATGGGGGTTGGACCTATGCGATCATCGCGCCCGATGGAGAAGAGGCACGACACGTCGCCGTACAGCGGCGTGCCTTACCTGTCGCCACCGCCGCCAGACACCTGGCGGAGAACGAACTCGGACTCCGCTTTGCATCAGAGCGCCAACGAGGCTTGCCAATCAACCTCCGCTATGTCTCATCGACGAGGTAGCGACGCATGTCGGTTTTTCTCCTTTTCTTTTCCTCTTTTATTTAAATATAAACATCGCAAACCTGTTCTGACCAGTACACTCCGGATGACTCTGACCCGCGACGCGCGCTTTCTCTCAATGACGCGGATGCTGCGTGAAAGACCGCGAGAAAGACCCGCGTCGCCGAAATAGCATATGGGACTTTACGTAATACCACGCGTTTCGTCAAGGCACTCGCCACGTGTTCTTATCTACAAAATTAATGTCTTGGAACTAATGTCTTCGTGTCTTTTCAAGTGTCGCTATTATAAATAAAAACAGAATCATTCATCCTATCTCAATTCGTATATCGAACCCGGCGCAACGCGGTTGAGAAACGCGTTCATTTAAACTCTATCATAAGCATTACTTTTTTTTCAGCGTTTTTCTCCTCTTGCAATTGATCGCGGTCCGTCGGTAAAGAGAAGGGTGATTAATCAAACATCTTGCATAAAACTCACCACTTTCACGCGCAAGCATTATTTCGTCAACCGTTAATAATTGATATGAGGCTGAAACTACACGTCCTGCAGTTTACGTGATTTATTTTGCGTGAAGACGAAATCGGCGTTTTTTTTTACTCCCTCGATGTTTACCAATTCGAGCGTGAGCGAGTATTCGCGGGTGAATAATATTATAGTTTTTCAACGTCGCTCAGCCGCTGTATCAACGAGTTCATCCTATGTAAAAGTGCTCCCGCCTTCGCGAGGCTGCTTCTTTGACTTTTGACGCAACTTTCATAAATCAGCTCAGCTCGGATATTTCGTCATTACCATATTGCCTCGTTACATCGCGACACCGCGCTCCATTCTCTTAAGTGGTTACCTAGAGAATTTTACAAAGAAATTGATCTCCTAAACCTCGCCTCACAAGTGTACGCGGCGTAATCTATGCGTTAAGGGCTTTCGCGACTTCAAACTATGAACCCGGAATTCCCGCGATTCCGTTTACGCTACTGTCTTGCACTCGCGAAACTAATTTAAACGCTCTTTTACTACTACACGCCGATTATAAAGTTTGTAAAAATTTAATCAAAGAATCGATTCCTTTTTCAAGGCAAAGATTAGTTTTTCTTCTTTCGAAGCAGTAACGTTGTACAGTTTCGATATACATAAATTACTTTTAAATCGCGTCGAGTCACAAAACTTTGCGGAGCGATCTCGCGCCGGAGATCACTCTACAACGAAGCAGGTGAAACGTTATACGGTATAGTAACGTTAGTAAGCGATATTATGTTACTCCGGAGAAATTGGATAACTAGTTTGAGAAATCCCCCGTTTATTCCCCCCCGTATGCATTCTGTACAATCGTAACCGAAGATGTATCAAAATGGATCGTTTTATATTCAGTGTCGCGGAATAACGTAGCTTTTGAGCGAACTAGATATTGTCTGAAATAGGAGAATCCAACGGCACGTTAACTTATCGGCAGTGCGACTTCGCGTCCGTTACTCGTAATTGCAAAACTTGTGATAAAGTGCGCATGTTCTGTAATTAACAGATCAGCACGCTATGACCGGAAGCGGAAGCGACAACAGAGATTCTCACCATGGCTTCATCGAACGACCAAGATCCTCGTGCGAAATGCCTAGAGTGCCTGGGATTAAGTACGTATTGTTGAATGATGAGACATCAATCGGCGTTTTTGAAAAAATTAGCGCTTTCACGTGAAAGAGCAAAGCTCGAAAAAGAATGCTTTCTCTTCCAGTTCGATTCACAATCAATTTGATGACTCGGCAACACTTTTGCCGCTGAACGCTCGATGGAATTATTATATACATCCGATAAAACTTTCGTTTGATTGCGTCGCGAGTTAATTGAGTTAGTTACGATTTTTTTGTGAAATCTGTTGTTTCAGCATATATCCGAGCTCGCAACCACCGGGACAGCAAATACCGATAGGCAACAACACGGGGTCGTTGCCCGACTTGAGCAACGTACACTTTCCGTCACCACTTCACACTCCTCTGGACCAGGAGGATCATTCGAGTAGTACGCCGTTCAGCAATGTAAGTTGTTTAACCGATTATCGTACGTCGACTACGATAACATTTTTCTATTTTTCTTTTCCTCTTGATCTTATACACGCACTTTTCGCGAGGCTGCACGTTTCTGAACGAGTCTTTATCGCTTTTACAGCGATGTTTTATTTCTCTCTTTTTTTAATATATTTTTTATTCTCTCATCTGTTTTCGAGATCCTCGGAGAAAATGTCTGCGAAACGGCATCCAAAATTGTAGCGTGTTAAGGCGTGTTTGGGTATTGTATCATTATGGTAAATCTATTATTGCCGCGCGTTAACAGATATGTTTCTCCGAGTGATTCTGCACGTATCAAACGAAAGACGAAATACAGTTTTGGTTAATGCTCTCTCGCGTACGTACAATCGCCAATAGGTTCTATAAATAAGCGGCGTTACTCATTGCTATTCAACGGATAATTTAATCCATCCGGTCTGTACGATAAAATCTCGATATTTTATCAGTTAGACTTTAGAATGTGCAGTATCCGTTATTTTAATCTCTTTTGACTTACTGTTAGATTACTGTGACGAATAAAAGATTGATATTTATATAAAAAATTCCAGATCTATTTAATTATCGATTTTTTAAACATGAATCAGGACTTCATCTTAGCAAAAATTTGTTGTTTTTAAATTATATTTCCAATTATTTAAATATATAATAAATGCATTTATTTTTTGAAAAGAGCGGCTTTTATCGATATCAATATTAATCTGTTTCTGCATTTGAGCGAATTGAAATCGGTTAACTACCTTAACGTTTTACAATTGATGCGGCCAACGGAAAGAATATCCGATTAAAGAAGTTAAAAGACAGATGTCGATATCGAAATTGTTCATTCGCGTTTTTTCTCGTCGGCCTTTTGTTTTTTTTCTCGACACAATCGCGTTGATCACTCTCATATTCTTTTCATATTTTTTTTACCGCTCGCTTTCGCGAGCGAAGTCGTCGTCGTCGAGTTACGTACAGACAAGCCGTAGACAAGTAGGATTTACCACTGGCAACGGGAGTCTCTTTTTGACATGGTCGAACCGCTGGTGTATTCCAGAGTCCTCAAACGAGCAGTCCCACAAACCTGTCCAGCCCGACCAGCTTGGCACAAGCTGGTAGGCTCTCCTTTTCACAGGATCCGTCAAGCGTCCAAGTAAATATCCTCGCGCCCCGTATTACTGTAGATTGTGCCTATACTGTTATAGCGCAGCGGATTTTTAATTACGAGCGACACGAACCCGACAATATATATATTTTTAATTTTACTCACTTGTCCAGAGAGCTCGATGCCACGAGCTTCTGTTTTAGATACTCGAAACGATAACGTAGATCTCGGTTAAGAGCCGCTGCTGTAGAATGTTGCGAAGCGTGCGAAATATCCGCGACCGACCTGAAAATTATTTAAAAACCAGTTTCTGAAAATTCCTTGAGGTCACGTCTCGGCAAATTTAATTTCACTTTACACCGCGAAATGATGTCGAATGCTCGGATATTTCGCATCTTCATGCACTAGGCTAATTACGGAATCGAAGGGAGCGCATTTTCACGGTTCTGAATATCTAAATCCACGATAGGCGGAATTTATTTTTTTGGTGACATATACGTGTATGGTGCATGCTCGAAATCAACGAAACATATGTGAATAAATTTAAAAGTCAAATACGTATAGTTTGAAAAAAAAAAAAACAATTGTTAAGAACGTTACCTCGGTTCCGTGAAACGATTTTGTTTATTGTAGAGATCATCAAGTAAGAGTCTGGCCAATTTGACAAAGCTGCTTTTAAAAATAATGCACTTTCTATAGAGTTTATATATTAGTTAGAGACACATGACGACATGTTCTGTATGACAAATCAACAAATGTAGGCTGGGTCACGATGGGCTGGGTTCGCTTTTGACGCTTTTGTTTTTATATTTTGGATTGGTTCTGTCGTAGTTTGTCGATACCAATCAGCGCACAGTCGATCAGCGGCCAGACTCTTACCTGAGAGTCTCTAATTTATTGGAGAATGTAAATTAGGATGCATGGTTGCATGAGAAGGACACTCTTTGTGCTTTTCTGTGCTTTCTTAAATGTTAGATTGTTTTGATTAAGGTAGCGCTAGAATCTTGAAATATTGCAGCTGCTTTCAGGGGAAAAGATATAAAGTGGGATCGTTTATTTCGTCGGGGAGCTAAACGATACAGATTCCGCAGGAAAAAAAAGAAAATTTAAGAAATGTTATCTGTCGCGAGACGCTTGACGTATTTTACGTAACTGTGAGGATTATATTCTTTTAGCAATAATTTTTCGCATGTAGTTGGATTGCTTTCACGCTGATTGAATAATGTCTAGAAACGCCATTGCTTTAGTCGGAAAAGGATTGAAGTATATCTTTCACGAAAAGTCTCACATTTTCCTCGGCATGCTCTCTCTCGATGTTCGAGTATACAAATTCCATCGTAGCTGAGTTATCAACTCTTCTTCTTTTTTTTCCGCGTCGTAGCTGTAATTTTCGATGGTTTAACGTAACAAGGATATAATGTTGCGCGCAATTATGCAGCGTTAAGTTCGAAATGAAACTTTTGCAGCACGCTATGGAAAGCACTTGTGACCTAAATGCGTCCTGACATTATTAATATAGAATTTAATAACATTTATCGAGGCGCCCCGCTCGATAATTCCGATCGTTAAACCGTACTGCAAACGCAAAATGAATTGCCCGCGAGAAAACTGCGTCGCTGGCGCGACATATATATATATATATTTTTTTTTAATGAAAAAGAAAATCCCGGGGATTCAACACAGTTAGTTATTGCCGTTCGTTTCCATTCGTTATAATATCAGGACGTATATGTATTTTAGCGAACAGCTAGAGAAATTCTGACCGAATTACCGCGTGCGCGTTTATACCGGCCGCCCGCCGCCGCGCCGTCTCTCTCTCACTTTAATTTTCTATTTATTTTTTATTTTGCCTTTGTTGTAGTGGTTGTTTGTGTTTGTTATTTTGCAGACCCATTTATCAGTGCCTGTTAACTCTAGGTTTCTTCACACGTGTAAGGTTAGTAGACACACCAGTCTCTCTCACGACGTATGTAATAATACGGTATACGCTTTATGTTCGTTGCCTTTTACATTAGTCGCGCGACTTGGCCGTTAACACCGTGACATTTTTATTGTTTCGCTTGTTACATAGCACCGTGCTTGCAGACAGACTCGAAATACAATCAATAATGAAGCGTGTGTATATGCGTAGTGTGGACGTACTGCGGGTCGTCGCAACATCGCACACGTCGGAGCTTGGAAACGAAAAAGTTAACGCCGCGATAATTGCGCTTGGCAAGAGGGAACGGACAAGTAAAAGTTGCGCAATGATAATTCTAAGGTGATCTCAACGCGAATCACTTATTTCCGCGTCGTAGCGTAATGAACGGTCTCGTGATCGCCGTGCGCGATTGAGAATCTGAAAATTTTACATTAAAAAAAAAAGATACCTACTTGAGTCTCCGATGGTTTTTTTTTTTCAAGTCGGCTCACTTTATCGGCGAATATACTTCTTTCGGAATTTTATTTCCTTCGCGGCGATCAAGTCTCTAGGACGTTGTATAAAAAGCAACGTCGTGCCAAGATATTATCCCTCGACTGCCAAAAGCGTAATTCGTAAATATCTAGTATATGGCACACCTTCGTAGTCCAGCTCAAACGTTTGCTACAAATTCGGTGGAGCAACTCGGTTGTTGCGGCGAACCGCTTCCGCAAGTCCGATGCTGTAATCAATGATGTAGAGATCGATTACGCGAGCCTGCTGCGACTATGTAGCATCTATTCAGTTGAGTTTGTTTACATGAAAGCGCGAAAAAGAAGAGAGAGAAAGAGAAAGAGAGTGTATGTATGTTTGAGAAAGAGAGCGAGAGAGAAAGAGAGAGAGAGGGCAGAAAGAGAAAGAGTGTGTATGTGTTTGTGTATGTGTGTGTATGAGAAAGACAGAGAGCGAGAGAGGGAGGGGGAGAGGGAGAGAGAGAGAGAGAGAGAGAGAGAGAGAGAGAGAGAGAGAGAGAGAGAGACAGAGAGAAAGAGAGCGCAAAACGAAAGAGGCGACAGAGCGACGATCGATCGTTAATAGCGATGGGTATGAAGCAGGGTGTGGCACTGGAAAACAGCACAAGTACTTCGCAACAGGATCTTCAGAGCTATCCGCAGCAACCGGCGCCGGCGGCGACGTCTCACAGCCCGACTGCTGGCCATTACATTTATCAACAACCGCACAGTCCTGTGCCGCAGAGTCCAGTTAGTATGCCGGCCGACCCAAGTCGGACGTTTCCGAAAATTATTATTGTAATGCGCGAATACTATTTACTATAAATACTTGGATGCGCACTCTACAAATCACATTTAAATGCAGTCTTGATCTATTTTCGCATATACATATATATGTATAAATGCCCGACTGGAAATTAAACTAGGGTCCAAATAAGGACCACATAATATTTGCCTGATTTAGTTGTCAGGAACTGATACTATTGCCTTATCGGCCTAAGTAATCGTGTAACGCAGTTTTTCTATAAGGTCCTTATAAGTTATCACAATCAGGCCCTTGTAAAATTATATTAGGTCCTCATAAGGGAAATATATAAGGTCATGAATAATGTAATCTAAAGAGGATCTGATAATGAATATAATATATATGGAGGGGTAAAAACCCACAGTGGTGTAAGTCAAATTTTTAAAAATATTTCCTCGTGTGCATAGATGCAATCTGTACAATATATAAATTGCATCTATGTACACGAGAAAATATTTTCCGATAAGGCATGTATACAGGGTCCTCATAAAGACCTGATCAGAATACTTGATTAAACTTACTTTCAACCGTGTTATAATTAGCCCGATTAAGTAATAATAAGGACCTAATCGGGTTGGCCTTAGTAAGGCATGCCTTAAGAATACCCGGTGAGGTCCTTATGGTATGTCGGGCCAATTTCCAGTCGGGTGTTTAACATCTAATCAGTTATACTGAATAAACGAAATGGGCATTTCTCTAAAAAATTATCGGTCTAAGGGATAGCAAATGTTAACCCTAGCTCGTCACATTCTGGTCCAGTGAACCGCTGAATGTTTTTCTAGTTTTCACATAATAACATAATTTTCTAGTTTTCTTGTAGTAAGTTCATTTTTAACTCAAATCATTTTCTTGATATCTTATTCAGACTCTGTATTTCCAATTCCTATATTACAAGCTTAAAAATATTAATTAGAATGAAAATGATAATGCGACGAAGTCGAGCGGTCTCACGGACCGGAGTGTGGCGAATTAAAGATTCGAAAATAAGTGTGGCTAGCTAGGGTTAATTGATATATAGCTCTATTATATAAGTTTCTATATTATATAAGTTTCAGTGATTGTCGCTGATAGCTATTTACTATATCTTATTGATACTCGACATTCAGAAAACGTCACACCAGCACCAGCAGCACCAGCACCAGCAGCATCAGCAGCAGCAGCAGCAACAACAACATCAACAATCGCAGCTCAATTCGTTGGGATCGTATAGATCCACGCAGTCGGTGAACAGGCCGTCGCCGCAATCGTCACCTAGTCTAACCGTTCAAGTGAGATCATCTCTTATCATAAAATTTCGAGAGATAACGAGCGTTTAATAACAAGTTTTTTATCTCCCTACAATATTAATTTTCAGAACAATTTGAATGGTAACGTTACATATATAGAGTCACCCTATTACGATAATCTAATAGTTTGTATTTAATCTAAAAGACTTGTATAATTTTATCTAACGTGAGAAAAGTTCTTTTCTCGTGTCTGCAATAATAGCCTTGTGCGCGAGTAAACGAGTCTGAAAGTAGCGCGCATTCCTTTTTCAGGGAAGTCCCTTAAGTTATAGCAATAATCCATCGGCGCCGCCTAGTCCTACAGGACATCCGGGTCCACCCAGCTTGACGTCCGATGCTATCGATCAGAATACTTATTTCATCAGTCAGGCGCAAGCGGCGACCCTCCAGCAGGAATTCGAACAGTTCACAATGGTACGTGAGTCATTCGTTTTTTGTTTTTTTTTTAAAGCAAAACGCTGGAAAAGGGACTGACTCGTTCGTTCGAGTTCGCGAATTGTGTCACGGGCGAGACATCTCCGAAAAATAGGTCTTAAATTTTGAGTCGGTTAGATCGGTTCAGCCTAAGTTCTAAAAAGTTTCGTAAAATTAAAATATCGGCTCGCTCTCGACTATCCATTTAGGTGAGGGGAAAGTAAAAGTTTTCCAAGCCATCGGAAATATTCGATCGACACGTTGGCAGTGGTCCAGTCGTACATTCGGCATTCTTATTTTTATCATTCAAGCTCTATCTCAGACAAGGGAATATTCGATATGTATAATTTCCATCTTTTTTATGGAACGGGTACCCCCGCCCCCCCTGTCTTCACGATCGTTCCGATATTGCGAATCTGCGCTGAATCGTGAAACCTTGTCAATCCTTTCCGGATCGTGTGGAGCTCGCGATTGGAACGTAATACGCACGTGCTGCATGTTTTTTACGCGGTATTTCGACATATAATTGCATTCGGGTTTTCGCAGAGAAAAAAAAGAAAAAGAGAGAGTGTGCGTATGTGTGTTCGCGCATTTCGCATGCTACGACTTATTTAATAGGTATACACGCGTGACCGTAACGTCAGAAATACTCGCGTGCGCATTTTTATTTCACTATTCCCGATAAAGGCAACCGATATTTTCAAACGCGAGAGATTCGTCGTAATTAAATTTTTTTTTTCCATCGGGTTGAGTTTACTCACGCAACGATACGGGGCGCGAAAAATATAGTTCTCCAATTCTGAATCTGAATTCGATCGTCTGACAGTCAGTGATTATGTAAATTATGATGAATTTTCCAATTATAATTAATTAAGGGATACCCGATCCTAATTGGCGCTCAATCTTTTTTTATGCATGTCGAAGGGACTGGTAAGTATTTGCCGCTGAACTGCTCGTATCTAACGGATAATAAGAGTCGAAAGACGAAATAAAGGCAAACTTAAATATTAACGACATCCAAATTTCGATCAGACGCAAGTAGAATTACAAAATGGTTGTATTTTAATTAGCTTTGCAATTTTAATTTGGATTTAGAATTCCTCATTTAGATATTTTGCTCATTAATGTATATAATAGTTTTCGCGCATACATATAAATACTCACATTTCGCCATGCAAGCTGATTGGTTTTTGCGAATTTCAATACATATAATATGCATTACTCTTCAGGCGATTTGACCTTCAAAGCTATAATTATAATGCTACGCGATGAATTATTCCAAGCGAATGATTCGTATGAATTATTCTGTCGGAGTCACTTGATATTCTACTCGGTTACATCGTCAAACGTTCCATTCTTCAAAGGCTTCAAATTATGATGCTCGACGTTTTTTTTATTTTTTTTTTTTTTATTTAATGCGAAGCACCTATTATGAAATTGTAAATCGTAACTAGTTACGTCAATCGCGTCAAAAGTATTGAATTAGAAAAAAAAACTAGTTTTTTTTTTAATGAAAAAAATTAGCCTTATTCGTAAAAGACGGCTGTATAATTATGTTTGATTATATTGCCACTAGACTTACAGTCTTAAGTCTTGTTGTTTATCTGTTGCCTGCATTCGTCAGGAGTGGCCCAGATTTGCGCAGCAGCTGATGGAACTCGGTTGCACCTGGACCACGCAGATAGAGGTGAAATATCGCCATTAGTTGAAACATTTTTATTTGCAAATTCAATACTGAGAGCATGTCTAGCGTTGGTGTCGCGGGACACCTTTTGCAAGGCTTGCAAAAAGTATTTTCTCTCGAGAATTATAAAGTTAACAATTGTATGTCTATTATTACACGTGCTGTATTGTAATTATTAAAGATTAAACGCAGAAACATTGTTACCTTCCGCGATACGGAGAGTAGACTCAATATTATTTAGATATTTAATGAGTACGTATATTAAGTCAAGAGGGAGGTGGATAATTAATACAGTACCTAATAAGCTGCTTAGTTAGCGCATTAAAAAAAAAAAAGAATTTACACAAACGCCGTATCTTTCATGATACTTGAACAGCGGAGGTGTTGCATATAAACGCGTGCCAAATGTATTCCCGTGCATGGAACTCACTTGCACGTGCGGCGAAGGAAAAATATCAGATCCCCGAGGGGATGAAATATTTGTAGATTAAGGTGAAATATTGCTTCGCGGTGAAATATCATGCCACTGCGCGCTAATGTTTAAAACATTAAAACCCCGGTCGAAGGGAAATTTTAAATGCGCCGTTAAAAACCATAAACGAGGAAAAATACGTAATAGGCGGGCTCTTATCGGCGGTATCAGGAGTGCAGGAGGCTAATAATAATCCGCGATTCGTATAACGTGTACTCTCAATTGATATCCCGCGTTAACTCGGAAACGCGCTGTTAGCTGTTACATATGCATATGCCAAAGTTGCCATGGTGCGTGCTGCGCCGCTGCGGGACTGGTTTTGTCACGGAGGGCTTCCCTTTTTATTCCCTCCTCGTTATCACGCACAAGTAGCCATTACTATGGCATTTGATATTGCACGGATAGTTACGCGCCGAGCCGCCGGTTTAAGTGATAGAATGGAAAAGACGATGTTTTACGAAATGAAAAGCGTCGTTCAAACCCCAAACAGCCTCATTTGTTCGCCTGAGACTACCGCTCAAACAGCCTCAGATTACCGTTCGATATTGCCCCTCGATACTCAGACAGCACGCAAATGTCTAAAAGACACTTTTAAAACATCTTTAAGACATGCGTGCTGTCTGGGTATTAGCATCGGTGAATCTAAGAGCGATCTAATTATAATAACTCATTTTTTCGGGCGAAGAGTCGTGAATTTCGGGCTAAGTTAAATAAGCGGGAATAGACACACGGCTGGAAACTTTGTACTTGCGAAATAATAGACGTGTAGGACGAAGCAATAAGTTTCTCGTGGATGCCGACTAAGCGAAAACGGATTTCATTTAACAATGGCTATTAGGGGAATCGGAGGATCCGGAAATCGAACGGTAACCAACGTCGTGATAGATTCCGAGGTCGAACGGGGACGATCCTCGGGCGAGCGGCCACGACGAGCTTACGAGCTTACAGTTCGATCGTATTTATTTCTCTCTTTATACTCTTCTTCCGCTGTTTTCCCTCGCGCGTGTACAGTGCCCCTCGCAGATCATTCTATAAAAAGCATTTGGGGGCTGGAAACGCGTTACACGAGAGAACGCATCAACGTTCGCGTATTCGCTTAAAGACGAATCGGATTAAATCGCGGCTGCGGCAAATCCTTCCCCGAGGCTTCTCTCAATGGATGCCAGGCTCATTTCTACGACTTTCTTTCTTTTTTCTCTACTTCAGATGGACACGCCGGTGCAGGCGAACACGATTGGGACGTTTATCGGGTCACCGAATCATACTACGAATTACACGCAGGTAAGAAGATCAGTGTCTAAGTTTTATAATTTGTTGCTGTAAAGAGACAGAGATTTATAACGAATTATAAAATTTCTGTAAAAATATCTTTACGAAAGAAACTTACGAAAGAAACTCCAAATTAAAATACCTTCTTCTTGCGATGGGGTTTGTATCGCATTATCTTTTATCTTTGTTTAATTCTTTAATATTGTCTCTGTGCCTCAGAGCGACGTGATTAATGTCGGTGGCGAATTAGGCAGCGCAGACACGGGATACTTTAGCACGAGTCCACAAATGGGGACCTGCTATCAACCTGCGACGACGACGACCACTGCTACTCAGCAGCTCACCCCGCAAACTCCAAATACACCTACGATTATTCTCACAGGTATTATCGCATGGACGTGTATCGGGATTTTTTAATACGTTGACTTATCACCGGTAGTTACGGTAGCTACGATATTGTAATATTTCATCATTATAATATGCTTATGCTAATGAAAATTAATTATGGCATACATATATCTACATGGTAAAACTTATCGGGCAGAAAATGTGTTAATTTTTTAATTTTACTCGTTTTCGAATAAGTTATACCATTTTTGATAACGTTTTATGATAAAAATCATTATCCATAAAGTCAAAGTAATTTCTAATTGTTTATCAATATTTCAAGAAATTAACTTAATCATGAACAATAGGTGTAAAAAATATTCGTACACTAGGAATTTTCACAGAAAATAGTTTATTTCTGATGATAAAGTAATAAACAAATGATTTTTTTTTTTCAAATCATAAAGTCTCTTAATAATATCTCAATAACAAAACTTATAGATTATAACATTTTATACTTCAAAACAATAAGATAACAAAAAAAAAAATAGTAATTTCTGAAGGCACACAAAGTATATATTTGTAAACACCTATGATATCAGTGACAAAAACTAATCTTAGATAAGGAACGTACTTCGTATGTTTGTTTACATTTGAGCTTTGTTTGGTTGAACCTTTTCTTTATATATTGACGCAAACTTCCACAGTCGTTATTCTCTATTTTACGAGAATGAGAACTTGAAAAAGATACGAGACTACACGAGGAAGGAAGAAAAATTATTATTAGGATGCATAATCAATGCGGAAAGTCTCGCGCAAACAAAGATTGTTGATCGAGCCCGCTCAACGATTTAATCTCTTATTGACCGATTTTGTGTACAAAAAAATGGTAAAAAATACACCCAGAAGTCGACCGCACGTCCCTTTAAAGACCGATGAAGATTTATCGTGCATCTTATAAAAAAAGATTCCAAAATTTATGCTCTGACGATTGCTGCAACAACAGAAAAAACGAGGTATTTTAGTCAGCACTATTTGGAATGTGATGCTCAATAACGGTTATCACGTCGAATAATAAGAAAGAAGTTTTGGGTCAACACACACACACACACACACACAAGATAACTGGGAAAAACGACTTTAATTCACCAAAAATTACCCCTCATTAAGGATAGTGACTTTTGGAATAAAGTCATATTCTCGGATAAAAATAAATTTAATATTTTTTGATCGAATGGGAGACGCACATTGTAGCGAAAAATAAATTGTGAACTGAATTCTCAGGTAATTCGATACCCACTGTGAAACACGGCGATGGTTCAGTGAAGGTGTGGGGCTGTATGAATGCTGGAAGGGTTGAAAAATTACATTTTAATGAAGGTATAATGAATCATAAGCCATAAGCTATATTGCCATTTAAGAAAATAATCTAGCCGTCAACGCGAAAAAAGTTTGACTCGCACGCGCGGAGATCAATATATTTCCCAACAAAACAATGAACCAAAGCGCACAATTTATAAATAAATATTAAGAATTGGCTGTTGTATAATGTGCCTCGACAATTGCATACTCCTCCATAATCACCGGATTTGAATCCTAGGATATTTGTAAAATATTGTCGAAGATGTAGTAAGAAAGAGACAGGCATTGAATCGTGCAGATTTTATTAAAATTTTACAAGAATGGGACGAAATTTTCTACTAACGAAAAATCTCGTTGATTCGATGCCACGAAGACTACAGGCAGTGATCGACTTTAAGAGGGATACTTGACAAAATATTAATTTAATTTTTATTATTAAATAATTATAGTGTACGAGTACTTTTGTGCCTTCGAAAATCACTATTTTCTGTTATCTTATTGTTTTGGAGTAGGTATAAAATGTCATAATTTATAAGTTTTGTTTTTGAGGTATTACTAAGAAAGAGAGACTTTATAATATAAAAAAAAAAGATTATTTGTTTACTATTTATTATCGCACAGAAATAAGCTATTTTTTATGAAAATTCCTAGTGTACGAATAATGTTTACGCCTATTGTATAATAAAGAAAATTTTAAACAAAATATTATATAATATTATAGATATGTTTGTTCTATATTTTCCGAATTATAATAAGTTAAAAGTTATAAAGAAAATGCTTCAAGTGCTTCGATAAAACTGATAAAAAACCATACTGTATTGCAGATTTTTCTGGTGCGGATGATCTTACGAATCCGGAATTTGTGAAAGACCTCGGAACGGCGATGATGGGTGATTTTGACCCGGAAATGTTCCCATCGGACGATGCCCTCAGACAGGGCCTTGATCCGATCGATGTGGATGGGCTACAAATGCTCGCTGACCCTACGATGGTTATATCGGATTCCAGCGCTGAAGCCCACTTTAGATTAGATCGACTTTAAGGGAAGAAATTTTACTCATTTACCAACACTCGTGTCGACTATTGCGTAGGATAAAATAAAATTCTGTCCTGGTGTCGTGATTAATTCTTAAGACACTTTGACATATTTGGGGTACCACTTCTTGGGCACTGGCAGATTTGCAGGGAAACGCGCGTCAATATGTATAAATGTTTATAAATTTTATTTACCGCGTATAAACTTAAGTAGATTTATACGCAGATATTTTTATCTCGTTAAAATGCTGTGCATTTTTTTTTATCTCATAACCACCCGTACATGATGTCAGATTTGTATTGTTTTTCTTTTTATGGATAGCGTATTTGCGTCTGAAATCTTTTGAAATATTTTCTGGAAACAGGTCAGTGGTCAATGAAAGTTGTTTCCCGCTCGTGATAAACCGCTACTTGACGATTAAGTAATATATATAAAAATCTTTATTAACCCTTTTTTTATTTTACACTACTTTGTACATTGTATCATGTATGATCTCTAAGAAGCACAAAAGAAAAGGTTTACTGATTTATACATGCTTTTATCATAATGCAATTCTAGTGAAGTAATCTACCGTTTAGGCCAATTTAAAGTTAGAAAAGACGAACGATTATGCTCCTCAATGGGAGGAGTAATTAAAAAACGCATAAAGATATAGAAGTGAGAGAGGAGGGAGATGCCTATCGGCGGTACACGCCAACAGCGATCTAGAGTCTTATGTTTCCTTTTCCTCATTACATCCTTGCGATTACAACTTACGATCATAAAACATTTGTGTTAGTAGTACCTAATCTATACGAATAATTCGTTATTTTTTCCTCACTCTTAATATCACGTTCACGTTACACTACGAATTAGTTTAGGCAATACAGGATTGTATTATTGAACAAATTTAGGACTCGATTAACATTCATCGCAAAAATTGGATCTGTGATACTGAACGATTAAATCTATAAGAAATTTAAAAGCAATCTCACCGAAGAGACTGCATAAGAGTTTTTCCGGGAAACGGACTTTTCTACGTTTCAGACATGCAATCCTGCTACTGATAATCATTTTTAGATTTATTATTTTACTTAAAGAATGGTTAATTATATAATTTCCAATCTCCGTTAATTATTAATTGCTTTTCTCATCGCTGAACAAACGCAGTGATAATAACGAGGAGGAAGAAAATGTCATATGCGTGTACCCTCGGCGGTTGTCAATTGTTTTTTGAAAGTAATACATTATACTTTATGCGCATTCGATAGTTAATCGAATGTGAACTTTAAGATAATTGTTAATAACTGTGAAATCAAGAAGATGACCCTTATATCTAGACACATTGTAAGTAGCGTACCATATCTTTCTCGAATAACATTCAAATTCTTCGTTCTAGTTAATGACATAATGTAGGCGATTAGTGTTACGGAATCAGGCTACGGCATACCGGAAGAACGCGGTAGAATCGATGGTATAGCGTAGTCTGAGTCCCCAACGGTGCATAATTCAGCACATACACCTTTCACATTATATTAAATATATTGAAATTTGAAACAGACGTAAATCGCAATGAAATCGCTATCGCTAATATCACGTTCATATCTTATAAATATAGATCATCCTCTGTCTGCAAAGATAATTAAATATACGGAATGGTGCTAGGAAAGCTCTTGTGTGTACGAAGTGTAAACGGAGAATGTCTCTTTTTACATTATCGCTCGTTACACACCATCCATTGGCGCGCGCGCGCGCACGCACACACACACACACACACACACACACACACACACACACACACACAC